GTACTAACCGGTGAAGCTCGCGCCTTGATGCAGGTACATCGAAGATGGAGCTGGAGCTATGGCACCACAGGTAAGTCTCGCTGGCCTCAGCCAGCCATCTCTCTCCAACACTACTACCACTACCACTACTTAGCGCCCTGCGCTGAAGACTACTCCTGCAGCTACTAGCGCCCAACGCTGAAGACTACTACTAGCGCTAAGCTACTCCTGCAGCGCTCCTCCAGAGTGCTGCGGCCGAATCCTGAAGACTGCCTCCTGCCTTCTGTCCAACTACCTACCCGTGAAGTGCATGGGAACTCCCTATGTACTACTCGGCCTGCCTCCTGACTGTAGGGCGAGGCAGTCCAGGAGGCTGCTCTTGCCAATGCCAGGGCAAGCCAAGGGCTGGCGCTGCAGCTCCTGCTGAGGCTGGCGTGGGGAACTGGCCAAAAATAACCTGTTCCCAACACCCTGGTTTGTTGTCTGAGTTCTAGGGCAGGACGATCTTATGAGGGGCCGGAAGTGGCCCTACGTTTCAGGCTGAAAAGCCTCATGGCTGAAAAGCCCTGTTTTAGGCTGAAACGACATAGGGCCTGCAGGCCCTCGTTTTCAGTCTTTCAGACTGAAACGACAGGGGGCCTGTAAGCCCTTATTTCTAGGCTTTTAGGCTGAGAATGCGGGACGGGCCCTGCAGGCCCGTGTGGCTACGCAGTATGCCACATCTGAACAGCCCCGCGTGCTGTCAGAGTCCAGCGTTGGTCCCAGCTATGGCCGACACTCCGCAGGCCTAGCTCTGTCTGTCTTCTCCAACGGTGAAGCTGTCACCACTTCCAGTTCATGCGTTGCACCGCAGCGACGTACACGGTACCAACTGCCAAAAGCCCTGAAGCGTTGTCTACAATCTATCTATAGTCTACACTAGCCTAGACACGACCTAGACCAGACTGACTGGACCGACCGGTACCGTTTCCGTTTTCGGCCTCTCGGCCTCTACCTACCCGGCTATAGGCTATAGGACCGTCTATCAGCATAGGCCTTTAGGGCCTATCTGTCCTAGGGGTAGCCCGGGCCTGCTATTCGCAGTTAGGGTAGCTGTAGGAAACTTCAGTTAGTACGGGCCTGTATTTTCCCGAATTTACTGATATGTCCCTCACGAATTTTCCCTACAGGTAGGTCTTTCCGTTAGCCCTCAGCCAAACAAAATTATGAATCTATCCTACCTATGGTACACCCTCGAATCGACGGGTTACCAGCGGCAGCAAACAGCAAGTCATTACAGACCTACCCTCCCCCAGAGCGAGCACCTCCGAGCTAGGGGTGCAGGCGTGGAAACCTCCAAGGGGATAACCCCTTCTTAGCTGCCTCATATTTGAGGACAGCAGATTATGCTGTCTTGAGAAGTTCGTTATGTGTAAACCGCGATCTTCCGTACGTGGCTGGTTCAGGAACTGCACATCAGAGCCAGTACCCATCTCATCCTCAATCTTCTCCACTTCATATCCCTTCCCAAGGATAGGTGGACCAAATTGAGGGCCGGGGCTGTGCCCTTAGTCAGGCCCATCAAAGCATCAGCCAGGGCAAGAACAACAGGATCTGGAGCAGTTGAGGAGGCAGTCCCAGATGTAGGGGTCCCACCCTGGGATGCTGCATCATCATCTGAACTTGATGCTGCAGCAAATAGGCCACCCTTCCTCCTTTTACGGCCCTTTGAGGAGGGTCCCTTCCTTCCTTCAGAAGGTGCTTCTTGGACATGGAGTTTGGACTTCAATTCCTGGGCTGCTCTGCCGAAGGACCGCTAGTCTTTATGGCCCTGAGTAAAAAGAGCAAGCTGGTATTGCTCAGGCGCTGCCCTTAGGAAATGAATGAGCAAATCCTGCTCACTCATCTCCAACCCAGGAGTCGATGTTAGACTCTCAAAGGTGGAGTACAATTTGGACAAGGAGCCATCAAACTTTTTATGGCCCAGGTGCAGACTTTTGTCTACTGCTTTCCTGGCCTGCTCCTTGTCTGCAAACCGATCTTGCAGTGCCTGCAGAAAACCAGCCACCCCCAGCATCTGCGCCCAATCAGACATCTCCATCCCTTGCTTGCTGGAGGTAGAGGTGCACCATTTCAGTGCAATCCTCTCCAGGCGAGCAAGGATGGCACTCACCTTCACATCCTCATCACATTTGAACCGACTCAGGTAGGTTCTCTTTGGAGTGACCTAATCTGCGACATCCACCTTAGGGTCCTCGCCAGAGAACATGCGTGGAGGAGTCAGCTTGGGCCGCTGCATGTCAAATGGAGCTGAGGGCTGTGAGGCGGCTGTCGACTTGGGTGTAAAAGGAGGGGATGAGGGTCTGGATTGTGGGGTTCGCTGGGGTCCCCCTTGGGAGGCCCCAGGAGATGGAGGAACAGTCAAAGTGATGGGAATGTGCAGATGAATGAAGATTTGGTCCAGTTTGGAAAAAACGTCATCCAACTTTTTGGAAAAAGTTGAGCGACTGCTTTCCAACCTGGGAATCCTCTCATCCCAGTTGGTAAAATAGGACTGGTGAATACCATCCTGCAAGAGGATGAACACTGCCCTGTCCTTATTGTACTGACTAGAGGATCCGCTCACCCTGATCTTTTCTATGTCTGACACCAAAGTCTTTCGCCTGGCTTCCTTCTGAGCTGCTTCATCTTTTCTTTTCAGCTCCACCATTAGAGCCTTAACTGCCTTTGCTTGTCTCCGGAGTTTTTCCTCCTCAACACGCAGTTCAGCCTCTAAAGGGTCCATTGGAAGTTGAGGCTTCACCTCATAAACATCTCCCTTCTCTGTATCAGGCATTCTAAATGTCCCACAATACAGATACATAAAAATAAAAAAATCAACAAAAGATAGAAATGAAAGTTACAGGAATTGGGTTTTCTCTGCAGTACTCACCCAATTGTTGTTACCTCACTGGAGAGAGAAATTGGTTAGTATGAGCAGGTACGTCCCATGTCTCTACAGACCGCTTGAGGGTTAGGGTCAGTTTAGAGATCACTCAACAAAAATCAATTCCACGATTTTTCATTCACTACCCTGACACATCAATTGAGTGCAATCACTGCAAATTATGTACTATTTCTTTTCAGGATGCAGTCCTGGACTGATTAGTAGTGATTAGTTATTAGACAGCGTCACTATTAGTGACAAACAAGTAACTACAGATGGCCAAGATGCAACGATTTACGGGGGAAGCTATTTTTTTGGACCTACCCTACTGACCTCACCACTGGATGACCCTATATGCCATACCCAGGGTATGGCGAATTACAGTTACCATTGTAACTGACTCAATACATCAAATCTGACAGTGCGATTTCAGACACAGACAGATT